CCCTTTTTGCTCCTTTCTTCTGAGCTCTAACCCGTTGAATATGTTTCACGGGTTTTTTCTCATGCTAAATTTTGCCCAGTAAAAAAAAGCACATTTTCAAAAACTTATTTCTGCATCATTTGCACATAAAGAGCATAAAACAAAAACAGCAACAAAAAGTAGGCAAACTGAAACTGATGATAATGACAACATAGGAAATTCAAGGGAAACCAGCCTCATCAGGATCTCTGCTCTCAAGAATTTTTGAAGACACTTCCCAATATTTATTTTCACTTTTCCATACCAGTAATCATCATGCAAATAACCCTCCAAAACAGTCACCCATCTTTTGAGGAAGGAAGCTACAAAAGAATACTCAATTTGAAAGATTCTTCCTTTTCTAATTTAATAGAAATACCCAAAACAAAGTGGTTTTCAAACAATGCTTCTTAAAACTGTTCTAGTACAACTGCTACACCACATTCCAGAGCGTTTAACAAGAAATATTTACAGGCTGCTAGATGTATTAAATAATCATGTAAAAGGGGAAAAATGCCTTTATTACACACCAGCCAAAAACACAGGAACTGAACAATTAGGAACATTAACTTGTTAAAAAAAATTAAATATTCAGAGAATACAATACCACAAAAACAGCACTTTTTTTTTTTTTTGAAGAATCAGTAAAGTTAACTGTGTGCAAAAAGTACCAGTTTTAATTACCGGAAAGAAATTAAGAACGCTGGGAACCGAACCCTTTGATTTGTATGTTTACATATAAAATTAAAACAGGCTTCTCAATTGCACAAATCTTTATAGACCTGTTATATACATGTTTAATGGCATTTTGAACTGAAGAAATGTCCATATCTACAGGCCTTTAACAAACATGCATCATCTTCCATTTTGAAATTCATGTTCACACTAAAGGGAATGCTGAAACAAATGAAAAGACCTATAAAATTCTTTGCATTTCTTTATACATAGTCACAAATTATGGTAAACGAAAGCAGCAGCTCCTCAACTGCAAAGAGCACTCCAATAGAAAATGGGCAAACTGCATTTTGTTATTGTAACTCAGCTACCAAATTAAGAACCAAATCAACTAAAATTTTTGAAAACTATTTTGATTCAGATGTATCACCAAAAAGAAAGAAAGAAAGAAAGAAATCAGGGGGACACGTAGGCGAACACAAACAGCTATGACAGATGCAGTGTCTGTGCATGCAACTGAGAAGAAAGGAAACGTGGTGCCCACATCTGACATCACAGGTCTTGCCCATTAACCTGAAATAGGTCTATGTAAATTGTGGCATATAAAGTTTTTAGAAAAGTACCTCCGTTATTTACTCAAACACCTACTTTTTAAAAAAATATGTTAAACTTTCCCCAATTTTTAAAATAAAATGCCACACTATAACTGCACACTTTTGTTATTTTTTTTAAAAGCTAGACTTGGGCAATACACATAAAACTTTCCTATAAAACCACTATCCAAAAGAAAGGATTCCTGCCATGCTAATAGGCAACAGACAAAGCAGATTTATTGCTTTTTCCAAGGAAGAGAAGGAAAAAGGAAAAAAAAAGCCTACATCCAGCACATTACACAGTCAACTTCAACATACTGTTGCCATTACCTTAAACAAGACTAGCTAATAAACTAGGTTATACAACAGAATGGCAAACTGGAGGTGATTTGTTCAAAAAATATTGGCTGGTTGCAGTGGCTTGCAGAAATGTTTATAAAACATTCCACATTATCTATCCAATGCTGAATATGCTGTCAGTCAATTCCACTCCAAACAGTATTAATGGGAATCTTTTAATATGAAAAAGGCTATCTACATTTAACAGCATTTCTACTTAAAAGCTGGGGGGACACCCTTTTTTTGGATAGTAACTCAACCTTAATAGTATATGGTAGGACACTAAATTCCAGGGTACACTTAGTTAAGACCTGAACATACTTAGCTGGTTAAACTAACACTAATCACTAGTAATTACATGGCAGGTGACCTGCTGAGGTAATTGAGAAGTCCACAGTCAGCATGCTGTACAGTTGTCCTTCCTGTTTCAAAGCAAACTGCCTTTTTATTCTTTGGATTAACATAAACTTTAGGAACATACACAACTGAGAGGTGGGATTTTTTTGTTTGTTTTTACAACAACATTTATAATCAGAGTTTAAGAGTCCAATTAAACAACAGAATGTCTCAGAACCACATTATACATCAGTTACATTGCAATTATGCAGCACAGGTAAACCCATATCACATGCCAGGGAAGCTCCACTATCTATTATAAACCTGTTCTCTAACATAAGGTGTGTTCTCAATCCCACTGAATTTGAATTATTGCACAAGCATCCTGCCAAATGGAGGCTGCTCCTGACAAAAAATGTGCTGAGCTGCCACTGATTGGACATATAGGGTGGCAGACGAGTTACTTTGGCTGACTGAATCATCAGTTCTGGGGAAATGTATGAAACCTAGATGGACATATTCATCTAGTTCAGACATCCTTCATCACAAACAGAATATGGTAACTGTACAGAATTTCCAGATTATCTACTGTCTTTCAAATATCAAATGGAAAAAGCAACAAAAAATTAACTTGCTTGAGAAGGCTATTTATTGTCTTGTACAAAATAGAAGTATCCTTACAATTTGAGAACACTATAATTTTCTCTCAGCACTAAACTCTGCAAGGTTGTACAAATCAAACCATGGCAAATGGCAAACGTTGCTTGCAGATATTAAACTTTAGTTAACTCCCCGGAAGAGTGAGATCTTCTACTTTTATAAGTAGCATGGAAACATGGAATTAGCCCAACAGTACTGAGAGGATAGTTTTAAATTTTTGACAACCAGATAGCAGCTTTTTGGGCAATATGGAAAACCAGCTTATAAAACTCTTTAAAGTACAGAGGACAGGATCTCTAAGTGCCAGAGAAACTAGAAAAGTTAGGTTTAATGGCACAAGTTCAAATGAAAACTGAGTCATACCAAAAAATATGATGTACAATCATGTTACACTCTCCCCCAATGAAGTTATCAGTATTTTGTTCTGGTTTTCCCTATGGACACTCAGCAGTTTTCAAAAATTTCAATTTTAAGTGCACACTCAAAACTTTCATAAGATCTGGCTGGAAAGACAACACAGTAAGAAATAAAGTCTCAGGCCCACACTCACCCTGCCCTGTAATGCACATAGAAGGAAAAATTAATGCTGGCTTATACTGAGTTTATCTGGCCATGAGAATTCCCCAATGTCATGAACCCATACTTAGATTGGGTGGGTGGGGTTTGATGTCAGGAGATCCCATACATAAACATAATGCAGGCCACGGTGAATATTGTTTTCTGTGTACTGAAAAGGGTAAAGTGGGCATGAGCTAGAGATTCATGTCCGTTATTACTATGTTGAATTTCTATTAGTGAAAGTAATATTTGACCAGGCTACTAAATAGGGCAACTATCCACTAGGTTTTAATACAGACAATTTAAAAATTACTTCATTTGCTAGACAAATGCCTTTTGAGTACACTTTATAAATTCTAGAATTCCGTTTCAATTTGATTCTTCTTTAAATGCTGTTTTAAAGATGGTTTAAATCAAAAGCCATGCACTTCTTTAACAATTTCTCACATCTTAGTCACACACTGTCTTGCACTGCTACTTTGTCTGGATATGGAAAATGAAGACAGACATTTACATTAAAATTCTGTAGAGCATAACTGAGTCGATACATTGTGCAATAATAGCTATTCATCTCTCCTGTATGGATGAATTACATTTACATGTCATGATGAATTATGCTTATTACACATGTTAAAAATTTAGCCATTTGCTACCCCAAACAATCCTGATTTCACAGCAAACTTTACATTTTGGTCACCTCAATATGGTCTGCATTTATTCAAATTGGAATAACAAAAATATTATGTACAAGGACTTAAAATTGACTTCATGGGTGCTGTCCAATCAAGATCAGGCCAAGCATATGAGGGGTTTTTACCTGTTCAGCGCTAAATTACAATAATGCAGAGATATTTCTGCCCTTAATGTTGCCTTCAAGGCAGAACTGAAGAGCCGGCTTACGTTCACATTATCTCCCACTGGAGCTAGCCCATCTACTGACAAGTCACTTGTCTGATGCACTGTCTGTGCAAGTGTTTCATTCTAAGGATGGACAAGTGACTCTGTTTTCAGCGGGCTTATTTTCTTCTCCCTTAGACATTCCATTTAAGCTGCTTCTGAAGAAAACTCTGAGTAGCTCTAACAAAACAATATAGAACCGTTTTCCTCTTCCTTAGATTTTTTATTTAAGCTGCTTCTGAAGAAAACTGAGTAGCTCTAACAAAACAATATAGAACTTCAAACTATGAATACAGTTTTAGAAATAGACAACATATTACAAATCTGTTCTTGATTAGGAACATTAGTAAGAATACACATTAGCTTAAAAACAGCACAGCAAATGTTGCTGTCCTGAAAGGATTTACAGTACCACTATTTACAAATAAGACAGCGTGAATACAGGAAATTTTACACATTTGGTAATTGACAAAGTTATTGTTTGCTGATAGCTGATCTATCAGAAACTGATATTAGGGAAGACTGGATAGTCACCAGTTATTAACATCATAGTCAAATTCTTAAAATACTAAAAACTACGTAACCAGTATTGCAGCCAGCATCTTGCCTCTTAAGGGGGGAAAATTAGGATTAAATTCCAAGAGGAAACTCATTTAGGCTTTGTGTGCATAGGACTTCCATTCAACACCATCAATCCTACTGAAAAGCATTAATTTCAGCCACACTTCATGTCATTTGTATGAAGAACTCACACTCCTGCATTCTCCTATTCAAAACAGTTTAATGCTCAAGTCACAGTACTTCTACACAAGGCCAGTAAAGAAAAGCATAACCTAGCTATTTGACCCAACATGAAATCTGGTATTTGCAATACCATTTAGATGAGACGATGATTAAACACAATCCAGTTCACAATTAGGGGTTGGCTGAAGATGATCTCGAGGAAGGTTTATTGCAGCTTAAGACTGCAGACCTGCATGAAAAGTGAAGCATGACTGCCTTGGTCCAGTCTTGCAGAAATTAGTAAGCAGTGAAAGAGTTCACTGTCTGTACAAATACCACACAAAACCTGCATTGTCTTCATCCTGCACCTCTGAATGTGAGAAATGAGAGGGCATTCTCTGTGGAAAAGGAAAAGACAATCCAAACAATAAAAAAACAGAAGCTAAAAGCTTTCCCCCCCTTTCTGACAAGAATGTTTCTGCACAAATGCTTTTTTGTAATCTAATACTGTCTGAACACTATCAGCTTCATCAAGATGGCCACTGAAGGCATGATAATATCCCAGGAACACTTAAATATGTTTGTTTTTGCTTTTTACAATACTTTAGGTCCGTTTTAATCAGGTTACTTTATATGCACTGGTCTCTCGTCTGATTTTAGACGTTTTCTACGAGGCTGGATAAAATCTTCATCGGAGTCATCTGTGACTTCAGCATCGTCCTCCTCTTGTTCAAATTCAGGTAACGGCTGGAAGGTCCTGTCTGGGTAGATCTCTGTAAGTTTATCTTCAAAGTACAATGCAACTGCCTTCCCTGCCTGCGCTACTTCTGAATCAGCCTGCAAAGTAAAAAGACAGTAATATTCACCCATTGGGTAATGCACATCCCTTCAGCAAGTGTGCATGGTCTGAAACGCTTACCTTCAAATTAATCTCTTGTGTTTCTGCATAAACTTGAACAACTTTCATCATCTAAAAAGGATACCAGAGTCAAAAAAAAGGAAATTATAATCCCTTCTAAAGTTATGAGACCACATAGGATCGGATGACTAAAGTCAGCCATACCAATTTATTTTTTAATTTCAGTGATGTGACTCTCTCCACGAGGCTCGTTACTGAGTTTACATTATGCAACCCTTAATGGAATAGGTGCAGATGTGGATCCCAATCACGGAAGCCCAATATAGTTAAACTCACAGCAAACTTATTCAGGAGACTGAGGTGAGAATTCTCTCATTGGTGCCCAGCAGCCATTTATTTCCTCAGGGCTTCCATGGAAGCTTCTACTAAAGAAAAGGCTAACAATTATGCACCTGTTGGGTCTTTTCCAATTTCGATAGTGTTAATCCCAACATGATGAAAAATACAGAGAAAATTGATTTGACAAATGTCTACAAATGTAACAAAAGAGCCAGAGTTCCTGCACTGTTTTTTCCCCTAGAGTTGGCACTGCTGCCCTTAAGAGCAAGAGAGGTCCTTTATGGTCCACAGTGAATACTTTTTCTATTCCTTAAATTAATGCCTGAGATATGCATGTTTTCCATATCAATTAAACTCAGTAAGGTAAAGTTACAAGTTATAAATGCATGATGACTCATGGTGGGTTTAAAGCCTTCAGGTCTTTATCATCTCAAAACAGGAACAGAAAATATAATAAGCAGAATATATCCTTTAAAATGTAAGAGAAAGTGAGTGCTGTCTGAAAGTACCTCAAGAGAAAAAAATTATACAGAATTTGCCCATGTTTCATCCTATTCCTTTCATATTCACAAACAGTTCAGAACTGAGCAGATGGAGGAAAGGATCCTATTTAGTGCAAGTGCTAGCAAAAATACACTCTTTTGACACTGTCTCACCTGCTACAACCTGCTGTGGCTCCTCCTGAAATTGTGCTCTGGAGGAGGGGAGAGGTTAGTAGAGAGCACCGGAAAGTGTTTTAAGAACTTCTGTTAATTATTTAATTGCTTATTTTGTAATTTTAGTCAGAATTTTACTGTTTTATTGTTATTATCTGGCGTTATGCCCTTGTTAGCCGCCCTGAGCCTGCAGGGAGGGCGGGATAGAAATCCAAATAAATAAATAAATAAATAAATAGATTCCGGGTACAAAAAGGGGGCACAATGGGGGTCTAGAGTTAGAAAGTGCTATCAGCAGCAGAAGAAACCCTTTCTCACGAATAGATCCAGGTCAACTTCTCAATTATTAGGGGGCATAATGGGGGTCTACAGTTAGAAAGTGCTATAAGCAGCAGAAGAAACCCTTTCTCACTAATAGATCCAGGTCAACTTCTCAATTATTAAAAATTGACACTATTTCATATCTACAACATCTGAATGGATGAAATCTTCTGCACCATCCATACGAACTTCCTCACTATCCGTCTCTATTTTTCTATTTTTCTTTCAGTATTTTGTATTACTTTAAGTCACGGGTGTCAAACATGTGGCCCGGGGGCCAGATCAGGTCCCCAGAGGGCTTCTATCAGGCCTGCAAGGTACTGGCTGTCTTCTGCTTCTTCCTCCAGTTCTGCTGCTGCTGTTGTGTCAGAAGAGATATATAGGCAAGCTTCTGCTCCCTGCACTGGGCTAAGGCTCCTCCCCCTCCCAGATTGCTACAGCACAGATATTTTGATGCAATAATTCAGAGCAAGAAGTGTCAGTTATCAGGGACTGTTAAATAAACAAAATATTGCAAGAATGCTAATGTTTCAGGCATGTTTTTATTTTAAGTAAAAAACATCTTTGTGTTTGTGTCCTTTATAAAGTTTATATCTACTCTACCTGGTATTACATTTTATGACACACATGGCCTGGCCCGATAAAGTCCAATTTATGTCAAATCCAGCCCTCCAGAACAAATGAGTCTGACACCCCTGCTTTAAGTTGTTTGTACTATCTGAGTTCACAAGACAAATTATCTATTAAAATATTTATACCCCGTCTTTCTTTGTGATTCAAGGCAGCTTTTTACAGGATGCAAGTCTGGTAGCATGCATCTGAAAGCACATGCTGAAAGTGTGCATTTGAAAAATTCAGGATACTTCACAGGGGCTGGACACCCACATGGTGTAATCCTTTCCCAGAGGTTACTTGCCTGACAGAATCATAGATGCTAGGTCGTAGGTAAGGGCTCTATGTTATATGGAGTAACAAGAAAGGTTTTGAGCCTTGCAAACAAAAGCATGGCATCGCAAAAAAGAAACAAAATCCTGTAGGACTTCCTTGTTTTAGTATTTTCAAGCTATTTTGTTTGGCATCTTGTTTTACATATCAGGGAGACATTAATGAGCTCTGCAAGATCAGACTGAGGATTCACCTAGTCCAGCATCTTGTTTCCAACAGTAGCTAGCAAGGAAGCTTGGAGTCAAAGCATGAAGGCAGTAACTTGATCCCCTGATATTCAAAAGGATACTAACTTTGAATGTGAATCCCCGTTTAACCATTATGGCTAACAGCTATTGATAAAAGATTCAGGTGGGTAGCTGTGCTGGTCTGAAGCAGTAGAACAAAGTTTTTTAAAAAAAAGTTGTATCCCTAACTATCATTTCTCAAGTTTACAGCTCACTGGGGTGTTTAAACACAAACCCTGTTTCTGTAATAAACAGATGTGTAATAATATACTTTAATCTACAACTTCTGACATTTTTAATGACTTCACACAGCTGCTCCCAGCTTTTAAATGGTTACTGTCACACAACTTGAATCATCTTGACACAACTTGCCTAGGCCAGTTTTATTTGTCTGATCAGACAGCAACCTGTCAACCCACACACATACACCAACCAGGATTGATACCCAATCACCATTTGCTAGACATTTAGGCAACATAAACAGGTAGATTCTTCCCCCAGGCAGCAACATTCACAGTCTATCCAATATCATTAATCATCACATACAGCATGAATCGAAAAAACCCCTATAATTATTAGGTTCTATTGGCTAATTGTCTATGGACTGGCACACAGACTGCATATCCATGTATATGGGGGTAATTGTTGCATGCACCCACCTTCATTGTGTCCAGCAAGTTAAACAGGACATGAGCCTAAACATAGAAGGGGGTGGGGGGAGAAGAAATCATGGGCGATCTAAATACTGGGGCTTCACACGACTTTTAAAATTTAGATCTTTATACTCACTTTTCTCCCCAGTGGGGACCCAAAGTGGCTTCCAACACCATTCTCCCCTCCACCATTTTATCAGCACATCAATTACACTGTGAGATAGGTTAGGCAAGGAAAAAAGAGTGATTGACTCAAAGTCATCCAGTGAGCTTCCATGCCAGAGCGGGGATCTGAACAGGTCCCTCAGGTCCAAGTCCGATGTACTAACCAATACACCACTGTGGTTCTCTGATGACCCAGCCATAAGACTGCCTCTGCTCCACACAAACAGAAAACTTTGAAACAATCCCAACTGAGATCTGTGTGGGACAGGTGCAGAATTAAATTCCAGTGTTTAACAAAATAATTTTGCTGGTTGGAAGTTAACATACTTCATTAAACCTTTCACAGTTCTTGAAGATCAGCCGCACATCCGCCACAAAGTCTTCAGGCGTCTGGTAGTGTTGGGAATGTTTCTTTTGCAGTTTCTTTTTTACTGTAGATAAATCCATTGGCTTCTTTATTATTTTATAGTAGTTTGGTATCTGTCAAGAAAATATGCACTGGGGTCACAAGAGGGCAAAGTCATAGGGTGTGTTTGTACTCTGAAATCTTATCTCTCTCATAATGAAACATTCACTTTCAAGAAAGAAGCTCATTCTACTTTTCTTCTCATGTTTCTAGACAGAAAATGTCTAGAAGATACTGGATTTATTTGCAGATACTGGATTTTGCAGAATTCTTTCTGCTAGCAATGGCACCTTCACTGGCACAAGAGACTCTCTTGAATTAGTAACAGGCTGCTGCTGATGAACAGATCTGTGAGATCCAATCCATTATCAACTCCTTAGTTCAATCAGCTACCCTTATTCGAAGGACACAGAACAGATGAACAACTCCAGTGTATGGCCATTTTAGATGTAGCAAGTGCAGCAGGTAAATGCTGTATATTCCAAATTCAGACCTATTGAAAGTACAATTGCCATTTTATCATCTTTAAGGTAACATGCAATGACTGACTCACCGAGGCTGGGACTGGCTCCTGGAATTCAATGCTCAGCTCATGACAATACAGGTAAAGGAGGAGGCGTTCACATTTCTTAGAGGGAAAAAAACACAATGAATTTTCCTACAGATTTTCCTATGTTTTTGTTTAAAAGATTCATACTCCTATTGCAATTTTCGTGGAAACAAGATTCAACGAAGCCTTACTAAGGCTGAAACAAATATGCTTCTTATTCTGCAATAGTCCCTTGGGGTTACAAGACAACTTCCAAGTTTTGCTATTTGAAGTCTACAGCCAAGATTCAAAGAAGCATGCATTCAGGCCAACAGGGCTTTGGACTCACATTTCTCAAAACAGAAGTCTTACATGCCACAGGCCAAACAACCCTTGGAATCAAGGGGAGTTTTAAAAGCAGTCTGAAATACAGCATAAAGAACCTATTGTTCCAAGTTAAAAAAGAAATCCCACTGGGCTACAGTCCTTGAGCTCACCAAAATAGGTCTTCGCATTCTAGCTGTTGACTTTAAAAGTCACTTTCAGAAAGTGGGGTAGCAAAGACTATGAACCTGAGCCAAAGTTTGTGTGCATGCACAAGGAGTTCCTTCTCTCATGTTTTTAAATATTTATTTATGTGTGTATTAATAAATGTTGTTTCATTGTTTTACACGTTTGCCACCTTGTGGACCCAGAGCAGGGTAGAATGGCAGCAAATACATGTTTTAAATAAACAGATCCCCTTTAGTGTCTGTGGAACATTTCCTCACTTCTGAAGGAAAGGCCCTTTTGTGTATGGTCCAGGAACCACCAAAAATTAAGCACGTATGATCAGATCAAAGGTCTACCTAGTTAGTCCAATATACTTCCTCCAGCAGCGACCAGCCAGATTCCTCAGGGAAGCAGGCAAGCAAAGCATTATGGAAAGTCTGACTATTCCCACAACCTGGCAGTCAGAAATATGATACCTTCAAACATAAAGGTACCATTCATATTTATCATGAGAGACTTATTTTCTGTGATCTTTTTTAAAGACTATATATACTAGTGGTTTTAACATTCTATGGCAACATATTCCAGAAGTAGTCATTACTGGTTGCTGTTCACACAACACACATGAAGCTGACTTACAGTCAATCAGACCATTGGTCCATCAAACTCAGTATTGTCAACGCAAACTAGCAGTATCTCTCCAGCATCTCAGGTGGAAGTCTTTCACATCCTCTACCACCTGATTCTTTTAGCTGAAGATGCCAGGGATTGAACCTGGCACCTTCTGCCTGCCAAGCAGATGCTCCACCACTGAGCCACAGCCCCCTTCTCCTCATCAAAGAAATTAATTAATGAACTATACCATCAAACTGTGAAAACTCTAGATACCAAACTATGCAAGATTATTCTCCTCCCATTTTCCTCCAAAAAAAGTAGCTTGACAGTCCCTTCACAGATATGCCACATTACCAAGCTAAAGTAGTTGTACAAGACCACTCTTCTTCAGATTTGTGAGGAGCAAACACAAGATAAAAGAAGCAATGGCCCACTGTTGGGTGAAAATGGAGAAACTCTGATAGAGGACAGAGAGAAAGCAGAAAGGCTCAATGCCTATTTTGCCTCAGTTTTTTCCCTGAAGAAGAAAACAGGCTCTTCTACAGATGATAGCAGGCAAAGCACAGCATCCAGGCTGCTGGCTGACATGGACAGAGATGTAGTTGAGAAGCATCTGGCTGCACTGAATGAGTACAAATCCCCAGGGCCAGATGGTATGCACTCAAGAGTGCTCAAAGAACTTTCTAGAGAGCTTGCAGAGCCTTTGTCCGTCATCTACTGGACCTCTTGGAGGACAGGAGATATGCCACAAGACTGGAGGACGGCAGATATCCCAATTTTCAAAAATGGAGGAGGGTTGACCCAAGAAACTACAGACCAGTCAGTCTGACCTCTGTCCCAGGGAAGATACTCGAGCAGATTTTAAAGGGATCAATCTGCGAGCATCTAAAGGACAACCTGGTGATCCGGGGAAGTCAGCATGGATTTGTCCTCAACTGGTCCTGCCAGACCAACCTGATTCCCTTCTTTGATTGAATGACAAGCTTACTGGATCAAGGGAATGCTGTTGTTTACCTGGATTTCAGTAAAGCTTTTGACAGGGTTCTCCATGATGTTCTGATGGGTAAACTAAAGGACTGTGGACTGGACTGTAGGATAGTTAAGCGGATAGAGAACGGCACTCAGAGAGTACTTCTCAATGGCATTTCATCCGAATGGAGGGAGGTGTCCAGTAGGGTGCCACAGGGCTCGGTTCTGGGCCCAATACTTTTCAATATTTTTATAAATGATCTGGATAAGGGTGTGGAGGGGCTACTCATTAAAACTGCAGATGACACTGAATTGGGAGCAGCAGCGAACACACCAGAAAATAGAGACAGAATTCAATAAGATCTGAACACACTGAAAAAGTCGGTCGATGTGAATCAAAGATGCAATTTAACAAGAATAAGTGCCAAGTTCTACATCTGGGTAACAAAAATGAGGAACACACATACTGGATGGGGTTGAGTAGCAGTGTGTGTGAAAAAGATCTCAGGGTAAGGGTGGACCGAAAGTTCAATATGAGCAGCCAGTATGATGCGGTGAAAAAAAAAGGCTAATACAGTCTTGGGGTGTTTCAACAGAGACATAACATCCAAATAGCAAGATGTCACAGTCCCGCTGTACACTGCATTGGTCAGGCTGCACCTGGAGTATTGTGTGCAGTTCTGGAGGCCTCACTTCAAAAAGGCTGTGGACAGAATGCGTGTGTGGAGGATGATCGGGGGCCTGGAGACCAAGCCCTATGAGGAAAGGCTGAGGGACTTGGGAATGTTTAGTCTGGAGAAGAGGAGGTTGAGGGGGGACATGATAACTCTCTTTAAGTATCTGAAAGTCTGTCACTTAGGAGGGCAGGGAGCTGTTCCTCTTGGCAGCAGAGGATAGGACTTGCAATAATGGGTTTAAATTAAGGATGGGGTGGTACTGGCTGGATATTAGGAAAAACTTCTTTACAGTAAGAGTTATGCAATAGTGGAATCAGCTGCCTAGGGAGGTGGTGAGCTCCCCCTCCCTGGCAGTCCTTAAGCAGTGGCTGGACAAGCACTTGCCAGGGATGCTCTAGGCTGATCCTGCACTGAGCAGGGGGTTCGACTAGATGGCCTGTATGGCCCTTTCCAACTCTGTGATTCTAAGATTCTATGTTTTAAAAAAACCATTCTAGAGACAGACAATAGTCAAAGTTAGCAAAAAATACCTTTGGGTGGTAAACACAGCTTATATTCGGGCTGTCACAGGGAATCCCTTCCCCAGCTCATGTCTGGTTTAAGGATGAACATTCCATCCTCCCAAACAGAATGTTATGTTGTCAGGCTTTCCTCAAAATCGGGCTATCTTGATTCTTGACTATATGTGCCAAATTTCAGTTTTTCATACATTGGATAAATAATCTAACCATTTTGAAATGCATGTAAATTCAGTCAGGCCATGCTCCCTTTATATTTTAGATACATTTTTGGACATTTAAGAGTAGATCCAAAAGTATCTCAAAGCATGGAATAGTATGAACCTCATCAAAGTAACAGATTAAAACCAAAAGTTATTTTAAACAGGTCACTCTCTAAGAACATTTCCTTTAATAGTCTTTTGCCACAATGGGCAATCTCACATTCACATCACAAGTGGAAGTCAGAAGCAGCTGCAGAAATTTAGGGTAAAGATACTGTTCACGAGACAAAAGAGAATAGAACTGACCATCAGGTCAAAGTGTGCAGGACAGGAAGGGCACAAGACAGAAGGAAAATAGAAAATATCTTGAAACCAAACACTGCCGAATAATGACTTATTTAAGCACAAATTCACCTACCAGAAGTAAAAATAGAACTTAAAATATGCAATAACTGCAGGGTACAAACTGTCTGCATTCTAGAAGCACTGACTGAAGAATGCATAGTTACTCATTTAAAAAATATTAATCTAAGAGAGGGCAGGGACAGCAGGAGAAAAACCAAAAGCATATGCTACTGCTAGGAACAAGGCTTCAGATGCATTACAGGAAACATACCCTTTGGTCCACAGGACTCAAACCTTGTGCAGTTTTCCCCTTCTTACTGTGCTGCAAATTGTCACAATCATACTCTACTTCAGGTTTCATTAGATCTCGGCAAAACGTACATATCCACTCTCCACTAAAAAGGGACAAAAATCAGATGAGTTCTTAGCACTATGAATGAACTCTTTAAAGAAACTGCAGCCATAACAAATGAACCAAAATATACAGATTCCCAGAAGTCTTGGAGGCAACAGGTATCACAGAGATCAAACCCTATGCATGCGAATGAATCTGCAATGAACAAGTTCCACTCCTTGTCTAACAACCACCTGATTAAGAGTCTTATTTACATGCTGAGGTGTTCCTGCATCACTATGAGGGCTACTGAATTTGCTCTTAGCACTGGAATTATATTCAGTATTCTTTACATGCTTCCCATTTCTGGAATCAGAACCTTACTCTCTGATCTTTAATGGCAGAGGCTCAAAAACTGTATTGTATTTACCCAAAAGGAGACAACCTCAATGTCAGATGATTCCACCAAACAAAAAAGTTACACAAAAGTGTGCTTTAAAAAAAAAATGCTGAATATAAACTTGCATGTGCCCCCCACTTTTTCTTGACAGCACTTTCCCCCCCAAAGTCTTTCTTTCAGATAAATAGAGTAGCTTTTCTCCTTCAGATGTTCTTATATTTTGTGTGCAATATATTTTGTGAGCCTGCTTTGGTGGGGAGGGCAGGGTACAAACTGAATAATAAATACCTTATTAATACTTTCAAATTATCTACAAATCCATATCTAAGACAAACTAAAAATAGAAAAAAAAACAGTAAAATGTAAAAAGTCTTTTTTGTTGCATCATGAATGAGGTCACTAAATTTCAGTTCCTATCATGCTACAAGGCAGAGCTCACCAGCCTCAGCTAACAGACAACAGTATCCTGCCCAAGAGCCACTCAGAGGCATCTCATACACCCAAGGACAGAGTATGCCAGATGTACAGCAGGATCAAGATATGTTGGCCTGTTTTCTGTGTAGTACTTAATTTGCCACTAGGGGCCTATTAAATTTGCTCAGAAAGACATAGCTGCTGGCTATCACAGGAGCAAAATACAACCACTGTAACATTAAAGTTGACCATGGGCTAATGAAATATAGATGCTGCTTATAGCCTAACTTCCTGAATAACCCTAACAAGCTCCTGTTGTATAAATCAACAGCTTTAAAACAAAATACCTTGGAAAGCTGAGGAGAGTAGGTACATGACATGTGAGGTGGAAAACTTTGGGGCACTTTTCACAACATAACAGGTCTCCTCCATTTTGGCACACGGCACACCAGTCCTCATTGGGATCATCCTCTTTGTTATTGCCTTCTGTTCCAGTCCTAGCTGATCGGTGCATGAGGCTGCGCACTGGAGACTTGCCATTGACAAGGCTGTGTCCCGACTGTTTGCAGCTTTCACTCAGGGCTGCTGGTTCAGTTTTAACATGGTTTTCTATACTTCCTAGTGCTTCTAATTCACTTTCAAGATGTAAGTTTGTGGAAAGAGGTGGCGTCAAGCTGCTCTCAGGACTGCTGAGCTGAAATAAAGGCACAAGATAAAAATCTAAGAGGGTTCCACCAGACGGGGGAGGGGTGAGGCTTCCTAATCCTCACTACCTGCCTCTTGTACCCACCTTGTCTTGAGTTCTTGTTCCTCCAGTTACTATCTACTTTATTTACTTTGCTTTGGCTAATCTGCCTCTATGCACCCCATCCTTTCTTGTCCCTAATCCCACTCAGAACTCCTTTTGTCAAAGTTGTTTTGCTTCCCCATGTTTTGTATAACAGCCAGCTCAGAAAGTTCTTGGTAGTCATTCTGCCATGTATTATATCTATCCCCCTGGCACAGCAGATAATGAACTGTTAACAAGGTCCTTAGTCTGAAATGAACATAGGCCTGGGCAGTCACCAAGTATTTGCAAGACATGGGAGTCCCACTCTTCTTTCCAAGATGCATGCCAATAGAGGCTTTGACAAAATCCTTCCTTAAGACACTTCTGCTCACTGCTGCTTACCTGTGGCTTCACCTGTGCACAGCAGTCAACAACCAAGATGTCTAAGGGGAGAACTTTCCCAAAGCCTTGATGCTTATTCATGCTTGGTGGAGGTGGGGAGGTTTTACAAAGCTCTTGGTCAGTAACTAATTGGCAAGTGGGCTGTCGTGCACAAGTGCAGAAGTGGAAGGAAAATTCTTGGGATATGACATGGGCCTGATGAAAAGCCCTTGGGAGCAGGACCAACCCCAGCTAACAATTTGAATATTCAGTTCCAAACAGAAACAAGCATGGAAAAAATGGAATGCAAATATTCTGCATTGTTTAATGTGTTCTAGATCCCTGCCTCCTGATGCAGCCCAAAACACCCCCCATGCCGCTTCTGGAGAATGAGGGATCCCAAGAATAGCTTGAGGAGAGAGTCAGTGGTCTGCCACAGTGGGGAGATTTCACAAAAAAATGGCCCCCCTCCCTCTTTTAAGGAGGGATCCATCCCAATACATGCTTAGGGGTTTTTTTTACAGAATGGTATAAAGTACAAGACCAAAAATAAGAGTTTTACCATGCAGGCACTCCTTCTGCCATCCTCTGATTTTTCTTGCTTTACTGGTCCTGAGAAACCGCATACCTCTTCTTCTGTGCCAGGCTCCTGCTTAACTTTGACATGGTCAGTCTTGAAACTAATATTATTCTTCTCAACTGTTCTGCCTGATGAACCACAGCTGGAAAAGGTTAAGCACATTTTAACTGCAGATCAAAACACCCAAATGCTAGAATTGTGAGAATCAAGAATTGCCTATGGGAGCAAAATCTTTCATTAAAAGCAGATATAGAAATAAACTTTGGCTGCGGTCACACGGAGCATTTGCTGTGCTGATGATATGGATGGTAGGCAGATTTTCCGGGCGCGATCACACCGCAACATCTGGGAAGCGTAGAGCTCCTGTGGCTAACCCGAAGCTTCCCACTGAAGATGCGGAGTAAAAAACTAGTACCTCGTGGGGCAAGGACGGGCTTCTGATCGGGTTTCCGGTGGACTTATGTGGCATCTTGCGCCCGCCGCTGTTCATCACACACAAGGCGTTTTTTTGTCTCCCAAGTCTCCGCAGGTTGCGCAACAGCGCCCAACAGCGCATGAGCACAAAGAGCGATTACTAGTGTGATCACACGGCGTGGCTTCTGTGCCGCGCTGCAAGATACCAGTATGGTTGGCATCTCCCCCCTAACCACGGGACCTCGACCGGGACGTGTGCTCGGGCGGCCGCACGTTAGTTTCTTCCGGGGCAATTAGCCATTCCTCCCCCCCGCGATATCCGGCCCATGTGACCGGGGCCTTTGTGAAACATCATAACCAAGAGCTGCAAGAGCAGCTGTACAGAGAATTTTTTTCATCCTCCCTTTAAACTAGAATTCTACATCTACTGTCACCACATCATATAAACTTCTGTACATTTCTATTAAGTTCCTTAGTTCTATTATTTTGCCAATAATGCAGCCCCCAAGGTCCACCTTTGTTATAGATGCACCTTGATTGTTATAGATGCACCGTTTCCCAAGCCTAGGATATCTTTTTTAAGATGGCTGACCAGAACCAGATTTTTAAATTTGGACAATGAGCTTAGCTAAGAGATGAGGACCTATCTTGGAGGAATACATACAGGAAGATCAAACTGGCTTTCTCTTAAACAGATGTTTAGCACTTAATGTCCACCGTTTAACTGATGTATCGGGTAAAATTAAACAGCAAGGAATTTCAAGTCCTTTAATTTTTTTTTAAGATTCAGAGAAAGACTTTGGTCAGGTAGAATGCTTATATCCGAAAAAGTTTCTAGAGGCCTTCAACTTTTGGGGGGAAATTTTAGAATTGTTTTAATTTAATTATACATTATGTTTTATTGTGAACTATGTGCTGATTTTATGTAAGCAGCCCTGAGTCAGTCTTGGCTGGGAGGGTGGGGTAGAAATGATGATGATGATGATGGATGATGATGTAAACTGGACTAAAGTGATGTATAATTCTGCACATTGTGTCCATTTATATACAGACTTGTGTTTGTTTTTGCAGTTTGGCATATTCTGGAACATTAGGCAAAGATGCCTGGTAACACCTCTGTAATTTATGTAATAGAACCATTTGGCTGCAGCCATCAGAGACCACTTAGGGATCCCTGGGAAAAAATCTGGCAAACAAGAATGGAAATCAAATCTTTATGCAGATGATATTGTTTTGGCAATATCAAATATGTCCAACTGATGTAGGGGTTTGCTTCAGATACTGAAGGAGTTTAGTGCTGTAGCTGGTTATAATAATATAAGCAAACCACAGCAGTTGGGCTTAAATATGCAAATATATAGTAAGATGACTCCCTGAGATTCTCAGGACTCCCCTGGAAAAATTGCACAATAACAAAACTAGGAATATAAAGGATGATATTTGTTAGATTATTAGTTTTAAACATGTAAAATTAAGGCAATACAAAAACTGAACATGTGGACAAAGCTGCCTCTCAAAGCTAGCAAAGTGGCTTTGATAAAGATGAATTCTGGTGGGAAGAAGTAGAACAAAGGTGCCACTGGACTCAAACTTTGTTTTGATAAAGATGGTTATTTTACCAAAGACTTTGTTTTTGTTGTTGTACCATTAATATTCACTAATGAAAATCTTAAAAGAGTGGCAGAAATGTGTAAATTTCAAACATTTCAAGGTATATTCTTGGTAAAGAGAAACAAAAGGGGGGAATAACCTGCCAGATATTAATAATGTTATGCATATGAATTAAAAAAACAACAACTGGCAACCAGGTTCAGGATGGCTCAGGTGCAAAGGCAGAAAAGGAGGTGGCTGGAATAGATCTAAGGAACTATTAGGGTTAGCAGTCAGATATAACAAAAAATATAGAAATAAGGCAGACAAAGTTATTGAAATCCCTTTTCTACTATAAGAGTGGGAGCAGATATGGGGAAACCCATCCAGTAACACAACCAATATAGATATTAAAGTAAATTATCATAAGTTACACTGAAGATGGTATCTAACACCATTACAGCTGAAATGTATCTATAATTTAAGTACTGTGGATTGTTGGCACTGTCAGACCCCAAATGTTCTGCAGCTGTTCAATAATTAAGTTATTTTGGAAACAAAATCAGAGTACATTTTCAGAGATTATCAGTTAGGAATTATCTTTAGAATCCAAGCTTATTCTTATTGAGATTTGTAAACAATCACATCAGAAACAATGACACAGCATTAATTACAAATTTGATCCCAGTTGCTTGGATGTGCATAGCAAAAGCTTATCAGTCAAAAATACCAATCTTAATGATCACCTCTCATGGCCCCATATAAAGGTCTTTCTCAATAAGATTCAAAATCCCATTCCTCATATTGGGAGATTTTTGGCTTTAATTTAAATGCCAAGATCCATGCATAAGCTTCCAATGAATTCTGGGCCAATTCAGCTCTAAGAGCAATACCTGAAACACAGCTTGGTACAGTAAATCTTGCAGATAAACTGTAACAAAGGTTGATTGAATGATTCATCCACCACCTCTATCAAGACCCCAATTCCATACAATAATTAGGATACTACCTTAGAACTGAATTCCTGAGTGGCACCTGGTATGTAATTGCCACCTTGTGTGAAGAAGAATCAAGTAATTGCATTACTGGTGAAACTAGCTTTTTCCATAGCACTTGTCAGATGGGCCTTACAGCTTAAATTTGATTGAAAGATGACCTCCCAGATATAAAAAATGCTTTAGTTGTTTGGTTGGTTGTCCATTTACGAACCACTTATATATCAGGGGGTATAGGATTTAGCAAACACCGTAATCTTTTATTTTTGTGTGCTGATGACTAGTCCTTCTTTTACACAGCATTCTGAAAACACTTTTAATAGTTTATATAAAGCAAGCACAGTGCATGATAACAGATGCATATCATCTGCATACAGCAAAAGTGGCAATTTGTCTCACCAGCGCCAGCACATAGGTAATGTAACTGGACAAATGAGGGGCCAAAGCATTTAGGTAGATATAAAATAAGGGTGCGGCCAATAAACAACCGTGTCTCACCCCCTTATGAAAGAGGATTTAATCAGCTAATTGTCTTTCAGTGCCAGCACTTATATCGGCAGAAGATTTAGACAATAGTTGTTTTAATCAGCCACAACAAGAGTTTCTCAACTGAAGAGTTTCTAGCTTGCTCCTTGGAATGGAATCAAATGCCTGTTTGAGATCAAGAAAAGCTGCAAACAGAACTCTTGTCAACAAGAAAGTGAAGAATTAAACAGTGATCAATGGCTGAGTAATCTTTTTGAAACCCAACTTGTTCCAGTTCAAAAAATTCAGTTGATCAGAGACAAAAGACTAGTTTATAATACAAAAAGAAGGCATACAATTTACCTATTACAGACAACAGTCTGATCGGGTGGTAATTTTGCAGGTCTAAACTATTTCGTATTTTGTAGGTTGGAACTATTACAGCTTTTTTTCCAGGTTTTAGGCATTATATCCATATTATTTATTTGTAAAAAGACATGAGCTAGAATTCTGGTCTACCAAGTAGGATTGGCTTTAAATAACTCAGCAGAACAAATTTTCAGACCCAGGGCCTTCAGTTAGACTTTATAAACAAAACTGGGGACCCATGAGGAACTGTAGGGGGACGAACAGTATGGAAATTCTATACCACGATATTGCCCACTCCAAAATTCTGTAAGTGCTCAGAGGCTTAAACAGACTAATACTCTCAGTCTTTGCCCCCGTCCCCAGACTCTCAACTGCTCTCAGCATTCTGAGCCACATGGAGCATGTTCCATTGGTCACTGGCCTTCTGTACTGGCAGTTTCTATCTTCTTACCAAAAAACTAGAAATTTTTTTACATATGTAGGAAGTCCCCCAAGTATATAAAAACCACTGTGGCTTGGTACTGGTGCTTTCGTGTGGCTTGGTGCTTCAATAGTGGCCAACCACTTTACTACTAGAAAGAGTTATTTATCTTACTAAATACTGACATGGCACTTAAAATAGCTTCCAGGTTGACTTTACAAGACCAAAGAAAAGTGAGGGTGCACAGAGCATAACTTACATTCACTTATAACATGAGACACTATAAACCATCTTTCCTGCTTACATAGCACAAAAGATAGCATGGGAACCATAAACTTGGATTCACCAGAGTGTTTCAGCAGAGTGTTTCTGCAGACACATTTCTTCCCACCTA